GTGTCTTCTATCTAGATGACGACCGCCACTAGTTAACGCACCGAAACAGCAGCAGCGCAAACAGATGATTCCTCTCAGCTTCATCTATATGTATATTAGTAAAAAGATATGAGCAAACCTAACCGACTACTATATAGATTTAGAAAACCCTACTTATTTGTTTCGTGAACGCTGACCGGCCTGATGGATACAAGCAGTTCTTTGATAGTATTTGGCTGTCTAACGTTGCTCCCAGCGCCAACCCTATCCCGTCGCTGTAGTTCAGGTCCATCCTGAACTTGACTTTCACAAGGCTCTTCGCTCCGGGCGCCCTTTTCTTTCTACTATACGCACGACGATGCCAGCGAAGGCCAATAGAAGCTACTTTCTTTTCAGACTTTTCAAACAACAGGCAGTAAGTCAGAGGGCCTAATGACGGTTGGTGGCGGTATGAGCTGGAGCCATTGTGCCGATGGCGCCGGCCGTCGAGAACGAAATGAACTCCAAATAACCAACGGTTTTGCTGATGCTTACGCAAACTTCTTCAGCGTTTTCGACTTCGGCCATCGATGAACTTTCCACCAAACGCCGAATATTGAGTCTAAACCGGCAGCGTTCCACTTCGAAAGCCTACAACAAGTATAGTTTGGAGATCTGCTGCGGTTGAGATAGTGCCATGACCATAGCCGCTACGGTTGCTGCAGCTTCCATTCCTTACGCTTTTACGAAGTTACAGCTATTTTGTCGTTACGAAGAGCGGAGCGGTGGCCTATATTTGCGGCACGCCACGGATGCTGTCTGAACGTGGGTGCGAGTGCCAGGTTTTTCAAAGGGACACCCCCTGCGTCCCGGTCCCCTCGCTTCTTTCTCCCTCTCTCGATTTCGGTTACGAGAGCGTAAATGCGCCGAACATCTAGCGCTAACATACGAAGTTATGAATCTATAGGCTACCCACGATAACGCTCGCGAAGCGCACGCACATGAGTGAATGAAATGGCCGAGCGATATTTTGTTAGGCTAGCTGACCAGATGTCTTTCTAGGCTTTCTTTTCGGCTATTCGTTGGACTACTATTGTTGGGCCTCGTTGTTCCATTTTGTCGACTCGACACGAGCGGTGGCGATGCCGTGGCCGTTATCATTTCGCCTTTCGCGTTCGATGTAGGCGTCGAACATTGATTCGATCTTTTTTTTTTCGGATCATAGGATATCATATCGGCAACCTTGGTTTGGTTAAAGTTCACGCCCGAAGATACTCGCGGGCGAGGCTGGATTGTCGCCTCTGCAAGCGTTCGTCGAGCGGTTTGTAAACACATTATGCTATAGATAAGTCAAGCTATGGTTAAAACATTGTTGTTTCGTGTGTCTCGATCAAGGACTGTGCGGTTTAGATCTATTATGGATTGATCCTTAGATAGGAGCGTTGTGCAAACCGTGCCGCAACATGAGCTTTCACCAAGACCGTACCTGCTTTTGAACCTTTAGCTATTTTCCTGTCAGATAAACGATTGGAATTGCCCGAAAAATTCCTAAATATTGTGTTCGTTTGCAAACTCGAAGCTGGTTCTTATGCGACGGGTTTTGGTACGGCGACCCAGCCGCGTTTCAAGATCCTGTCTCAATGGGGTGCTCAATACGAACCATATGGATGAATCGAACAAAAGGAAAGATAGCCGTACGAATCGTCCCTCGTATTCCTCATATTTTTCTGTACTTACATCAAAACGTATCAACGACTGAACTCAGACACCCCTTGTTCTTCCCCCTACCCCGGTGCCTCTTCCGATTTGTAGGCTACCATGTTATCACTGCAGCATCGCGAATATGTATTAAGTTATTATTAAAGTATACCAAGTGGAATGCTGTTGCGCGCAAATCATCTGAAGTTTGCAGTGCTCTCAGTTAAATATGCAAAGACGCGCCTGTATCCAGTAGAAAATGACGTAATGACTCCAAAAATTTGAATATCCTTATTCTTGTCCTATAAAATCTGTGAATCTATTGTAATCCACCATTTACGATGCGTTACCTTCCATAAGGATCTTATCTTTCCCTAGTATTCAGTCAGTTGCTTTTCTTGAATAGAGAGACCCCTTATATTGCAAAAAAGAATATAACCCAACATGTAGAAAAGCCGTTGTCTCCTGCACGTCGAACACCTCCAAAATACCTCTCAACGAAGACGACTATATGCTATTATTAGCAGCAACAATAACTTAATCGATAACTTATCAAAGTAAAACTCCCGGCGAACGGACAGTAACGACCAGACATGGTTTTTGCGGAACAACTGCCACATCTTTGGCCACTTTCTCCGTCGTCACCGGACGGCCTTCGGACGAATTCGAACCGAGCCCCTGTAATAACACCGGCGACAGAGTCACTGTCACGCCACCGCTGTAGCCCCTTGTGCCGCATCGGCCGCTAGTAAACGACGTGTCGTCCTCCCCAAACACTACACAGTTCAGGGTCCGCTATACTGTCATTGTGTAACAGCTTTGCGGCAAGCATCCGCTAATGCGTGCCTTTTGGTTTACGGTGCATTTGTCTATGAAAAAAAGTCGTCCGGTCGTTTTTGGCCATAAGAGCTACAGTTATTACTTGTACTACTAGTATGATGCCATTTGAAGCAAGAGCTGAAAGCCTATAGTAGAAACTAAAAGTCGACCCAATCTTACCACTGCCTCGCCGTGCTCACGCTGTAAAAACAACAGGGGCAGCAGCAGTGGCATAACAACAGCAGTCGAATCAGTTACCGTTGATGGCGGCCAGTGTTGGCTTCTACCCTGCCCTGTGCTGTGTTCTGCGTTACTGCTACGGTGCCCCTTGGATCAAGACGACGTTGTACTGCCGTCTTTAGCCGGCCGGCTGCTCAGGCCGTCGGCAGGCAGGCCAGTGATCAGGCGTCGTGCATCTTTGCCTCTAGTGCCTTTCCTCTTATCGTAATTATTCTGATGCTGCTTCTGCTGCTATTACGGCTCCCTAGACATATTCCTCTGCACCGTCGGCAACGACGACAGCCATCCGCCCCGCTCTCTCCAGACGGTCAACGACCTGCTGATGCCCGCCAGGGGGATTCTACGTGTAGCTGCTGCTGTCGTCGTCGCTTTCAGTATTCACGCACTGACGCGAAGAAGAGGCAAGAACGAAGGTGTCTCTACCGCATTCGTTTAGCTCCACGGCGGAGAGCTTCGGATGCTGCCGGTTTACACAACCAGTAGCAGCAACAGCGAAAAGCATCGTCACACCAAGAACGTCACCTACAATATATACATACATATAGAGATATGCATATAATCCCGCCCTGAGTCCGCGCGGTAGAACGTATGAGCTCTTCGGATTTTTTCGCCTCTGCCTCAAAAAGGAAGAAGGAGAATCGACCATTGTAGAGGCGGCCCGCCTGGAGGAGCGCCGGTAGAAGCGGTACCGCTAGCAGCTAGACGGCCGTAGGGGCAGCGTGCTGTATCGTACACTGAACTCAACTAACACTGCCAATGGCCGCTGTCGTCTCGCCGAACAGCGGGAGCGCTGTCGAGTGCTCCGGAGTGCCACTAACTGCTTTGCTGCCGCTGTTGCCCGCCGCTGCCACCTCAAGGCGCACCGTAGAAGGAGTGAGTACCGTCGACTCACGTCGTTGTCGCAGCCCTGCGCCCTGCTCATCGGTGTCTCGTGCTTGTCTGGCTGGTTTTGCATCATTATCAGCATCACCACCAACACCATCGTCATAATCATCAACGACAACATCGCATAGCACATAGTCGACAGATTAATAGGCTGCCGGCGGGTCATCCAGCCAGCGCGAGCGGGTACCGAAAGTGCATTGCCTCGAAGAGGCCCTACCAGCTGGCACAGCAGCTACTCAAGCGCGCACATATCTGAGGCGAACGCATGGCAAGTCGCGCACAGCATTGGGTAGCGTCGTCACTGTGCTGGTGAACGAAACCCCGACCGACCGACCGACACCGTAAGCAACGAAAGAACGATCACATGAGCGCATCGGCGATCGTGACGACTCCGGCCATTGCCACGAAATGCTAGCACGGCTACTGCCTCCGGCTTTGCCCGCTACTGCGACCGGACGACGATAGCAACGCAAACGATTACAACAAGGAACGACTGGCGGTGCCCCACCAGCGTCATTGACCCACTGACTCAATGACTGACTAACTTAGTGGCGCAGCTACGGACGCATAGCAGGCATTGCCCCAGGGAAGGCGCAGACAGGGCCGCGGACCGGCAGACAGGTAAAGAGGAGAGACGCACAGAAAAATGCAAAGAAAAAATGATCTGCACTACGCTAAGAGAGAAAAAGGTAAGTTGGCTAGACAACGCTATAAGGAACGGCGAACGATGGCTGGAGTAAAACGTATTGCCGATGTAGAAATAGGTATACGGGGGTGTTAAAGTCGGAGCCAGCGGTCCTCATCTAGTCAAAGGTTTGTGTCGTCTGGACTGTAGCATTACAGTGACGGCGCTGTGGGACGCTGCGATACAGCGGCGGCCTAATGCGACATAGGAATCTGCGCGAGCTCTCGTCGGAGAAAATGAGCTCGGTGCTAATTATGAAAGAGAGCGCTCGTAGGGCTGGATGCAGCCAAGCTGCAGCAGGTAGAAGAAAGAAGAGAACGATATATAAAAAAAAAAGCTGATGTTGCTTGTAATCGTACCAGGCTCGCTTAGGTAGAAGGTATGGCGTACAGACGCGGGAGGTCGTTAAGGAAGGCAGAGTTCAATGCGTCGTCTCGCTGACATTGTTTATGAGATTTTCCTTAGATCAGAATTTCCTTAGAGAGAGACCTTCATTGATTAGAACAATGATGATGACGAGGATAATAATACTATAAGCTAGGATCAATGTGAGCTAGAAGCATCAAATGTGCTGTTTTCTTTTTTACAATGATACATAATTATTTAATAACCGCATACATCCGCATATACCGCTCATTAACACCGTACATTGCAAATCCATCTCGCCGGCCGATTGATCTCCAATTATATTTACTAACCTTTATAATGTTGTTCTACTTCAGCTTTCAGGAAGTGTGCGGCCGAAAATCATTCACTCACTCGTTGGAACCAGTGACATGGATACCAGCACATATCTAACGGTTTAACTCACTCGAAAGAGTCGCCTGTACACTCAGCACACTGGTCACATTAAACAGGAAAAATATTTGCAAAGGCTAGCTGCGACAAACGACAAAGACTGGAAAATACGCCTGTGCGACTAATAAGCGCATATATTCATACGTAAATTCGAACCTCCTTCGCCTAAACCAAGATTCATATACTTTGTGTTTCCATTTAAAGTACAACAAGCAAACATTATTCTGCAAATCTTATTATCCAACAGACCATTCATCGTCGAATATGCGTGGATTAGGGGTAGCGAAAAGCTTCGTTTCCACACATTGTTTGACCAGGCCTTCACTGGTCGCCCGGAGGCAAACAACAGCAACGCGCTCGCCCCGTGTCCTGGTACGTACTACAGGCTTAAAACACGCAACCTCTTATTGTCGTGAGGTACAATGACCAGCTACCGCGGTAGGCTACAGGATCAGATGCGGTCAAAGCTCCTCATAGAGCCTAGATAGATTCTATCCGGTCGATGTCGATAGACGCGCTCTTTCCTCGCTGTGATCGCTCACTCCTCCCCAGTGAACAACGGCTTCTTAAACCTCTCAGTCGATTGCTTATGTGTCTGTGTGTGCATTTGTCTATCTTCGTGTATGTATATTAGCGCCCATGTATTTCCTTATGATGGTTCTATTGGCTCTATAGGAAAGCTTCTACTGTCTCTCGTCGCAGTATTCGACTTGGCCTGTCTATCTAACGTGGCGTAGTAAACAGTACATAGACACTTAGGTTTTGCCAGACAACAACCTGGTACTAATAACAACCCGCAGCACAACAATCATACAATAGTTCCGAGCTGTGTTGCGCCTTCCCCGTTCCTCGCCGGTGTTGTCCATAGAGGGGAGATGTACATTAGGTCGGTACCTCTCGGGGTCGACGGCCTAAAGGTCTAAGCAGTCTGACAGTTTAACGTCTCGACGGCGTATTCACCCGGCTAGCAACTAGCAACGGGGACGGCAAAATCCAGCAGCGGTACCGGCTTGTTGAGTCTGAGCTGGCGTCATACACCGATCCGATGTCGCCTTCTTGTATCGCTTCTGATTGAGCTAGACGTCTACCGCTGCTGCCCTTCTCCTTGTTGAGCTTCTTTCCTCTGCCCTCGCCGGTGTTCTTCAGTGTTCAGACAGTGTCTCGGATAGCAGCCCCCTCTATGCCCCCTTCGCCCAGTTCTGCAGTGATGCTCGGTATCGGCCGACGGCTAGACCCTACCGAAGACGATTCGGCAGCGCCGCGCAAACAGGGCGCCCTATCGACAAGCGCATATGTGTGTGCCTATTCAAACGTCGAAATGCGCCGTCGTATTTCGTAGATGACGGCTGTAGCATTCGGTAAATTTAGGGAAACGGCAAGTCTAAGTTGAGTAACTGATCTTCAAGGAAATCGACGTTCGTTGCGGTGAAAAGGACCGCTGCGGAAATTGGCAAGCCTACGCTGTAGGGCTTGGGTCATAGTTTCTATGGGTTTTTTCGAGTTGTTGAGGGAATCGTGCCGCACAATAATACGGTGCGAGACATTTGATTGAAATTAATGCGTTATGATTATTCCGTTCTCGTTAGGTAGCAGAATTTTGACGCTACTCTATCCGGCCTAGTTGTTTGTTAGTGCAAGGCGGGCTGCAGCTCTATCGGTGCACGCTTTGTTATTGTGATGACATATATCTTAAAGCCTATAATAGGCAATGCTTAGAATAATGGTCTAGGCACTGTTTTTCTTCTGGCTTATAGAAGAATTAGGTCATTACGAGGTTATTGGGAACCTCACATCGTGTGGTGTTGTCCCTCAAACAGTGACCCTTAGTGGCTCTTTAAGATTCGTATAAATTTACAACAGATTTTCGTGTGTAGCAAATTCACTTGTGGTAGTCAGTTACTGAAAGTGCTTCTAGCGCAGTAGATCCAACGCTATTTATGATATGTGCGCTACAAGCTTAGGCAAACGAAAAAAGGTGGCCGGAGAGCCGGATCATACTAGCTTACTCTCTTCATGTGTTATTTGAATTTATGAGAAAATCAATAGCAACACAGCGTAAGCAAACCAAATTCGTAAAATTGCTATTTCGCTCAAATTTTCGGAGCTTTCCAGCCGATCGCCGGCGTCCTATCAATTTCGGCTCGCGTGAAGCGAACGCAAATCGGTGGCCGTGCCCAATTTTGATCAATACGTGCTCGTTCGAGATCGTTCGATAACTAGGGAATTGCGGGTATAAGAAAGCTTGAATTATCTTGCTATCTATTCCGGTCACTCTGCCATACGTCGAGACCAGGATCCAGCAAACTATGCCATGTCTATTCGGTTGCTAAGCGAGTATGCTGGACAATAATCGGGTTCGACTCCTAGAGCTTATAACACGTGGTGGTGGTTGTTGTTGTTCTGTACGGGCAGTACGACAGCCGTCCTTATGCAGCAGGTAAGGTCATGTTACGAAACGCCTAAAATTAGGCACAGTATTGATGAGTAGCCGTATGAAGAAGACGGTAGACGATCAAGCGAAAACAACTCGTATTGATTAATGGGTATTCGTTGAGCCATAAAGCTGCGCCGAGACATAGTCCAAATGTTAGAGATTGATTTGAAAGATACATTAATCGCACCTCAGAAAGAGATTCCTTACTTTTTCTGTAGCGATTTCCATCTGAAGCTACAACTTCTGAGTTTGTTGCCAATAGCAGAGGTCAACGGCTGTGCTTTATAGCTCTGTCAGGGCCGATCAGTTTAGCTATTACGTACCGCAATCTTGTTCAACTTAGAATAAAATAGATCCGATGCTAGTGACTCTAATTGTTGAGAAATATAAAATACAATCGATTAGTACTGCATTAAATAAATAACAAAATGCACATAAACATACTTATGGGCTATTGCCGGCCAGTTGATCGATCTAGCCTCGCGTATATCTTGCCCCATTATACAAATATAAGAGATAATGTGGGTTAAATAAATTAGGCTTTTCAGCATTCGCTAAGCCCCGTTCATTCACATAAACGTTATCAACGATAAAATCGAAAACTGTAAATAGTCACCTAGTTCGTATAAATGTTGTAGTTAGCCTCGGCAAAACCGGTTCGGGATGGCAATTTACTTACTAATAGACTGCGAAATTTCGACGAAAACTGTTGCTCGTGGATTTCGTGTTGCTTCACCCGCAAATTTTGCCAGCTACTCAACTTAACGAACATTCAACTTTAAAGGAATAGTCACCTTTTAATCATCTAGAAAGAGTCACTACTCGTATCTCGGATGTCCTGTATTGGTCTAGCAGACTCGAATTTTTACGGTTACTTCGGCCGCGTTTTCCAAATCGATACCTATATTGGCGTCTGAAAAAGCTTTTCGGTCACCTGGTACTTCAAAGTTTTAAGTTCGCAACGGAACAAAACGAGTCCTAACTTTTACAAGGCGACCCACTAACTTCGTAATGCTTGTAACGGTTCGTGATTGCTATATTGAACGAGTTCAGCGATGGTCTCGTTCACGTTTAATTCATGGAAACAAGCTATTAATTTCAACTAATTTATCTAATGGATTCGTAGTTGAGCAAGCAGATATTTGGACGTTTGTCGTTGCGGAATTGCCTAAAAACGTAAAAGTCGATCCTGCGAGTGTACGAGATCAGTGTCGAGTTATAGAGTTGAATGGTTTAAGAGTAGTGTCTGATGAAACTGCTGAGCCGTCTGACTTCCCAATAGAATCTTGGCAAGACGCTAAAGAAATTTGATCATAACCATAGCCACACGGTACGATTGATTCGTCGGTCACGTGGCAATCTTCTTACATTGATACGAGGCCAAATCTCTTTTAGATTCCTAAATGCTGAGAGCAACGAAAAGTATTCGATCCGCGCTCGAGAGGATTCAGCGAAGAATTCGGATGCTCCGTATCAAGAACAGCGGGACTTGACGTCTCTCTCGCCAGGACCTCCGTGGTCAACGCCGTCGTTTCATCGAGATGCACCGCTGCAACGCAGCGATCTCCAAAGCTCTGTGCAGGTCGAAAAATAAGAATTGCTTGATTTATGGAGGGATAGTCCGACTCGGAAGGTTCGGAGTCTGTTGCTCGCTGAGAATCACTGAGCTAAATCGAATGATCGCGAGAGTTCCAGCGAACTGCCTAGCCGCTGTTGGACTGCAAGCTAGCGCGCTTTTGCTAGCGGGCAGGAACTTGTCGCAAGAAAACTATCCACTCACTGCTGTGGTGAGCCTTACTGCCAATCAGTTTGCGTTGTTTGTTGGTCATGATCGCGTTGTATGCAACAATCTGTACGACTTATGGGACCAGGATGGACTGCGTTCACCCTCGCTCATCAGAGGTCTCCGAGAGAGGTGACGCGACGGTAGGACGCACTTGTGTTATCGATACTGTTGAGCGGAATGCATCGTATGGCCTGGTGTTCTTCCCGGAAATCTTTATACTGTTTTTGATTCGTATGCTACTATTAGCAGCAAGATCAGAGGCAGAATCGCATCATCGTTATCATCACTGTGCGATGCTGGACTTACGGTGTGACGTATTATCCGGGCACTTTCTAGCTCTTGGAGATATCCGATAAATCTATTCGTTTGCACGAGACAGGGGTACTGACAAATATAGCAGCCAACTTAGCAACTGGAGAAGTCACCTCGAAAACATCTGCTCGGATATTGGCTTGCCGCTTTTTTGCCTTCAATATCGCTAACAGTGCTTCGTAGGAAACGTTCGATATTTATCTTGTTCTTGACTGATAGGTGGACGTTCGTACGTCCGTGGAACATATGCCTGACCGAGATTGTAGTCATTATTGGTAAGGTTTACTCGAGGTAATAACGGAGGGGAAGACTTTAAGTTTAGCAATGGGCAGATCACACCCTAACTACCGAGTGGAAGGACAGCGCTGAACAACGGAGAGGAATGATAGGTAGATACAGGCAATAGGATCTATGGAGGATTGTATGACGATCAGGTTGAAGATCAAACTCGAAGTGAATGGTTTGTATCAAAAAGCTGAGAAATTTTATTATAGGCTTCTCTATTTCTTAGAAAAAGTGCAGCTCACTATTGCGGCTACGCTGAACAACAAATAACGAAATCATCTTTTCATCTAAGTGAAGAATCGTTGCTTCGGCACAGCCGTTGCTGATATTCAGTGAATAAGCAGCCAGCTTAGGCTGGGGCAACTAAAGGAAGGGCAATTTCATGAGAGCATTTTCTAACTTTCATAAGAACGCAGTCTCCCTGTGACAACTGCCGCTTATGCCTGAGTGCCCGACCCGCTCTGTAACTATTTTTTTAAGCTTCGCTCTCCGTTTTGAGCCCGACGACCAGCCAAACCTCAATTAACACGAAAAGTATTTTTTGACTAAAGAGATTGTCCACATCGTAAGGAACGCTTCCAATAGAGACTACCACTTTCACAATATTCGTTTTGCATGGTACTCACTCAGCACAGCGTGTACCGGCGTCTTTAAAAGGTGCCACTGCAAACAGAATAGGCATCGCGAGTGAATTGTATATTCTCCTAGAGATTGATCTCAGAATTACACAGAGATCCGAGGAAGTGCTGGAAGACGCGTGACTCAGCAGCGCCTAGCTGACCATCATTTACGTTGCTCAATTGTCACGAATCGTGGAGAGTCCCAGATGGTCATGTTTATAACGTAATGCACGTTCAAAACCTACGGCCCCACATGGCGGTGATTAGTTGTGTGCCCTCTAATTGATTTTAAGCTTACGATTATGCTTCGACTTGTATTCAACGACTTTTCTATCGGTTCCCATGAACGGGTGCTCTACGACTACTCGGCCTAGCTATACATAGCGATAAACCCGTTCGTGTCTGCGTATCGTTATAGTTTAGACCTGTTAAGTATTATCAGAGTTCCGAGCCCGGACCCGTAGCAGTTGCTGTATATCCTGTTAAACTAGTGGCTTTACACCTATCGCAGTTTACTTGACGCAGTTCGTGCATCGCTTGTTTAGTGGATCCGGCGAATTTTCGGGGTGATATTATTGGTTTGTCAGCCGCTTTACTGGCTCGTGGTACCTAATCACATGATTTTGGTAATCCTAAGACCTTGTTCTGACCGGTTAGTTGACTTGTACTAGAGGGATTCCGCTATGCTATTCACACAGTGACCCTGTAGTAGATGTTCTATACTTTTGTATCGACTAGCTTAACTCCTCTTGTAATTAAATCATTGTTCAGCTAGCGTTGACGCGTTGTTTTCTCGCGATGCTTCGCTATCTCAAGGTTGAACCGACCTTAGCGTGTAAGTTTTTAAGTAAATATTAGATCGTTTGGGAGACAGAGTAAGTTAACTATGTTAAAATATTTAACATCTTTCTGAAATGCTCAGCCAGATTTGAACCATTAACAATATCATCCAACGTATTTCAAAAATGATTTCTACCCAATTGTGTAAAACACCACTGAACTAACATCAGTAAACACCACTGAAAATGTTAGTAAAATTGTTCATTATGCCCATTTTTACCAATACCGAACAATATACATAGAAGTTCTATCTTGGTATAAGTTAGAATTGTATATACAAGATAAAATTGATAAGAGATAGTGCAAATTAATTGTTGTCTGGAGTCTGTAGACTTTGCTTAATAATCTCTACATTAAAATTCAGTTTGGCAGGTGAAGCCAGCTAGTCTTAGATATCCATAAAATCTTGAAACCTTCTTATATCTAGGTTATGTTCTAACTTCACACAGGCAGAAATCTACCTGAAGCTACCTGAAGGTAAAAAAAACCTTGTATAGATATAAATCAGCAAATCTCTCCTATTAACGTACTTTTCAAATGCCACTGTTGTTAACTTCTTTGCATCCTTTTGCCGCAATTCTTAACGGTGTCTTTCACTTTTCTTCCCAAGAGCATGCATTAAAGGTTTTCTCTTCGTCGACCCTCGACCAGAAATTTCCCGCAGCTTTTGGACCTAGAGGATCTTGGAAGACTATTACCGAAACTGAAGTGTAGATGATACGTATTCAGGGAATTGAAGAAGCGCTCAATTCGTTCCACTGCGATTGATGAAAAACAGACATTAGATATGTGCATTCTCGATGAATTTTGGCTCATAAATTACTGACATATATATATATATATATATTTTTGTTTATAGAGGCCCAAGAATACCCTGCTTTATTGACGTAGGTACGCCAATTGGTAGACTCGAACCAGCGATATCTTAGATTTGACAAGGTTCAGACGCTATAAAATACTGCTTCATAAAAACTCTACCAATATAAATCTAATGCCAAGGAGTTTGTGTGGCTAAAAGGCTGGGTGCGCTCACCTCACGTCCGTAATAGTAGTCCAAAAGGATTCCAGGATTCGAAGCTGTGAAGTACTCCAAATCGGGTGTTAGGCATAAGAAAAAAGTTAGTTTAGATGTCAATTTATTAACTAAAATGGCATAAAAGAATCCATGATCACCACTGGAAACGCTGAGCTGCCATATTCGATAATTAGCTAATATAAAAGCAGGCAGGACAATATTAAGTGTAATGGCACGATCTACCAGGTTGTTACCGAAGGACCGTGCGCGATTTACGGGCGATTGCTATTACATCATATAGTGAACGTATTGCCCTCGACAGGGCGAGTCATATTAGTCGACAATTACTTAAACTTTACTTGCGGACTTTCTATAACCTTTGCACTTTTAACTTAGCTTACTTTCACGATTAACTTCACTAAACACTAATCGATATCTTATAGTAAATCGGCTACATCTTTGAAAAACTTATGTCGAAGAGCTTGTAATAACATTCACTGAATACAGTATCGGCCTATATAAGTTTTTTGTACGGGCATTACTTGCATAAGGGAAGAGTGCATACGATTTTAAGAATATCGACGCTGCCTGGTAACTGCAGTTTTGCTTGGTTTTTTTTATCTTTAATTAAAACCGTTTGTTTACTGCCAGGTAACTGCCATAAGCGTAATGATAATAATATGCGGTAATTACAGAGTAACAGGCAACACGGAAGATCGATCCTAAGAGTATGAAACTAATATAACAATATAAGAAAAACATCGTCGGGAAATGGCCAGTCGAGCTGGACAACGGAGCCTTAAAGCTGAATCGCTAAAATTTGTTCACGAGATAACGCTTACTACGTAATTACTATTTAATTAGTTAACTATTAATTACCTACAAATAATATTAGAGTTTGTAATCCTAGCACGTTGAGTATATAGGAGAACTCTATAAAGAAAAGTACATTTTGTTTGAGAGAATTAAACAAATCAGCCCTTTGCTTTTATGAAAAGAGGCTAAGTAATTTTTATGACAGGCATCGGCTTTACCATTTAGCACCACTTTTACTAACTTAGTAAGCCTTTAGAATTTTTCAATTGGCAATCTTGAGATATTTTTAAATAAATAAAACAGCTTTAAATCGCGGATGGCTGAGTTATCCGTCGGAACGCGTAGTTGCCCAGGGATGATTCGAACATGGAGCGAGACAGTCATAGGCAACGCAAAAATAAGATCGAGTTCTGGATAGAAGTTCTTTATTGGTGTTGTTGGTGACTGTCAAATAAGAACTAGTAAAGCAACTGTGTGCGTAACAGAAGTGGACAAGTTTGCTGTTAACTTAAAGTTCGCTATTTATTTGAACAGATGTCAGTAGAAATCTCCGGTGAATAATAATTATATGCCGAATACTATTATCATTATGGTAACTGATGCCACTGGGACAGTTTTAATTATTTTCATATATACGACATTTACCAGAAATTGAAAGATGTTCACGATTCTTGTTACCATGGTAGGCTTACATTATAATGCTATGTCGATGGCACTAAAAAAGCATATGCGTTTTTTAGCGCCCAGGCCGATGCTACAAATAATCTGAAATTATTTCAAGTTGGTACTACCATACAATAAAAGGAGTACACAATAAAAAAAACCTGATAGCGTTCGTGTTACAATATTCCAAAGTAGTGCTAAGAACAGACTAAAGAGTTACATATTGTTTGTGTTACAAGATGTCGACTTCAGCGCAGGCTGTACAAAATACAGTCGCCACTTCAGAAGGAGAATGGAAAAAAATACGAGATGACCCAGTGCAGTTAGAGGCTCTTCTGTTCAAAGAAGCTATAGTACGGTGCGAGGGAAATTATTGTTATATGGGTGTAGTGCAGGCAATCGACCCAGTCTCAAAAAGGTCAGTCTAAGGGTGAAAGGTCTGTTGGGGGGAAACCCAACTAAGCTTATGAAGACTTCTCCCGACAGCATCTGAGGAAATGCTCCAAGCTTCAGTTTATTACAAATTAGTTAATTGGCGCCTATTTTTCGCGTGAATTTACTGTCTTGCAGTTTCTCTTACTGATGCTCGAAGAGCTTATCCTAACGTATTACAGCTATCCTTACACATTTATTCATCTAACAGTAATAAGATTTTAGTATGCATCTTCGTTCTTCTTTCGAATATTTCAGTCTAATCGTGGCTCAGCTAAACGGGCAAAAGGACATAACTAACCTCGTGTTGTGCATGGGCTCGTCTATAGAAGACGTTTTCGTAGGAGAGGGCACATCCAAGCATGGCGCGCTAGTCCAAACGCTTTTCAAACAGCAGACCAAGGTAAATATTCACAAATAATCTATAATAGTTCAATACGATAGAAGTAGTACGGACTGTTCGCTTATGAAAACTCTCTCGTAGGGATCAACATGCTCTAAACATGTGCTCTCCCAAAAAACTTTACCAAGGGCATTTATGCATTGTTTATTAAAAAGTAAATGCTAACCTTATATCTGTGTCGCAAGACAATTGTTAAATCATTCTGCATTTGTAAAATAAAATGGTAAAAAATAGGTATCTTGCAATCCAAAAAATGCTTTACTATAACCTGTTTCCACCTGTTGTTATTTATTACTAGAGATTCAGGTTCGATTTGATTTATTTTATATTTGACGTGAGTTAAAATTTCAATAATTTCCTCTTCAAACGTTCCTTTCGAATGAATTTTACCTAAAAGTTGCGTTTCATCTTATAGGAGGAGATTTCTCCTACTAGGTTGAACGCCTTGCGTGATCATCTACTTAGTCACCTGAGAGCCCATCAGTTACCTGTCGAAATAGACCTCAAAGACGGTGAGACGTTGCGAATCGCACAGATTGCCTACATCGCACCGCCGTACACTGTTAAAGAGGTAAATGGCCATTAGGTTACTATTTTTTGATTAGTAGATTTAGATATACATATCCAATTAAAACCAATCCATAGCCAATTTAAGAAAAACCTAGGGGATTGAGAAACAAATGTCTGTAAAGGTATTTTTTAACACTTTTAGCTATCTTTAATGTGTGAAAAAATCCTTGAGGGCATAAGCATCGAAAATCGGCTTTTCACTAAAATGCCTGAAACAGGTCTTACTAGACTTATTTGGGGTTTTGACGCAGCCCACGCCATTTGTTTGCGGGGGAATTCATTATTATTGTTATCACTACTATCAAAGTTATTATACAATGAATCAGGGACAGCAAGAGTTATGTCAACAGCGACCGCAAGACCGATCGTTTTATTCTGTCACGTGTTTATTTGCACTTTTGCTAATCTAAAGCAACTCTTTGAGTACCTGATTAGGTAAACGTTTAGAATTTGATTGCTGTAGTGCTCTGAATGCTTAAACCAAAGGACTCTTTTCAAGGTGGTTCTACTTGATTGTCTTCCTCAATCTCTACAGGTATACTGCCAGAACGAAATAGTGATGGAACGCATTACAAAACTGGTCGAGGAAATACCACCTATGCAAGCGTCGACTGAGACAAATATCACCCTGTCGTCTTGATTGGTCCAAAAAGATTTGTTAGTATTTGAATTGTTGTTTTTTTTTGTTAATGAATTCGGAAGCAATAGTGGTTGAGCGCCTTACCGTGTATTAATGATCACTATGCAGTTAAGCCCATTGCGCTGGGTCTTACACGAAGCAATGCTTTTCGTGATCAATGTGTGTATAATATATACATTAACACATGCAAATACTCTAAATGTGTTTGACAATCCTTTGTAGTTTACTCAGGCAGGGTGAAAGGGCCAGAAATTCTGTTCTTATATATATATATATATATATATATATATATATATATATATATAAATAAACTCTTTCAAAATACATAGTTAGCTGTGAGGCTGATAACAAATAAAGGCTGATCTTCATTTAATATATGAAATATTTATTACTACTAGAAGAGTAATCGAAACGAACCTCTTCGTCTTGTTTGTTTAATATAACGATGACCGAATGTGATTAATTGATTATATGTTTACGAAAATATAAAAATGATAAATTCATAAAAATATGTATTGAAGTCTAAAAAAAATGTAAAGTACCTGTAATATTATGCAAAAAAAGTATGCCACGCAATAGATGAGGTTAGTGTAGCAGAGCTGTCAAGATGTTCTAACGAGAACGAAACAGGATCCAACTTGATATCAATCAAAAAATCAAATGTCAAATTGAATCGCTGGAACAGGTCGCTAATTTCAACATTCGGTAGAAAATAAGATGCCTCAAAATAATGAAATACTACCGGTTCCAAAACAAGGGTGGGAGATTAAAGGCCTCACAGGACTTTAAACAGAAAAACAAGTTGCCGTGGTTGTGTAGGCTTTCGAGTAAAACGGAGCCCGAATAGTATCCTGCTTATTGACTTATTACAGCATTCTTCAAAGCACGCATCATCAAGTCGGGACGAACAGTTGTTTCCCTGAAGATTTCTATTTTTTATAAGCCTTTAGTGCTAATGCTCTGAGTTTCGGAAAACAAAAAACTAACCACTGAACGATATATTGGACTCTAAACCCATTATTCTCTGATTAAGTTATAGCCCTGTATAGACTTCTCATATAAATAATGTTGTCTGTTTTTTTGAGAATTGTAAAGGTTGCTTCAGTTTTTCGATACGCGAAAGAGCTCCAGTCAAACTAAAAAATAACCTTCGCTGCCAAATGAAAAATCAACGCTTTTTAATCTTGTAATAAAATCGCCTAGAAAAGCAGGCTTGATAACATGGAAAAGTCGCTTGTATAGCGCTTTAGATAAGTATTACTCAGAGACGTGCTAGTAAAAGTGATAGATGCCAAAGTTCGTTATTGTTTTATAAATTGGATGATGTCTATTTTCATTGAGATGTTGTTGACTAATATTCATAGATATGTACACATATTTATAGGAACAGGTAATAACCAACCCTTTACACAAATCCAAATGATAGTTTCCTCAAAGCGAGTTTGACTAGGTAACCGGCATGCATCAGTCGATTTGCGTTACTCAATTCAGTTAAAGTGCTCAGATCCTTTTCTATTTTGTGAGTGTCTTTATATATCCTGGTACACACATGTTGTGTAATGCATGATCCTACACCTCAATACGCACCTTTCCACTGATCAGGGCTCGTTTAGGTTATGCCTCTCGATTACCTCCCCTAATTCACATACAGCTGTCATTGCTCTTCATTGGATTCGTAAATCAACATACACAGATTTCCTAACATACATAGCACCTATTTTGACGTTTCTATATAATTATCATATATATCATGTTTATATAACAATAAAAACATCAGGTAAGTTAAATGTTTCTTGTTTATACACTTGTTCAAAAAGTGCCCTTAAACGCTTATCTCAATTGCCTGACCTACGATCATCAATCGACTGTTCACGGTAATGGGCCAGCACGAAACAAAGCGTATCTACTTCCAGTTTTCATCTGATACCACCACGTGTCCGTAAAGTCTTTATTTATTATTTTGTAGGCAAACTCATTATCCACTGTGCTAACACGGGCCAATTGATGCCAACAGTTTAATAGTTGAAAGAGCCTTGATTAGAGAATTAGAAAACCGGTTATCAGCTAAGTTCTACTTTTCAAAGCATGGATCTGTTAAGAAAAAGTACTACATATTTCTTTACTATTGTATGTATACGTGTCGATAGGAAACGCTACCAATTACGTCTTCTCGAATAACAACAGTATATCTTAATTATCGGCCACCTGATAATTTATCTATTGATAATGTGGGCGTGGTCCCTCAAGCTTTAAGAATGCTAGGGATTTCATAGACTTGCCTTTCTGTATCGAGCGAACAAAAATAAATAACCGAGTTAACTAATCCGCGGATTGCTTGAGAGTGAAGTGCAAATTAAAGTGGTTTTTGCAACGTCGCTTCCACAGTCTGTCCCTAAATATTACGGGGAACGAAGTCTTATATTGAAACCGGTTTCTGTTCTAAAACGACCATATTGTCTTCCTCTCACCCAGACCACTGCGGTTTTTTTCATGCAATAATATGCCTATATATGTTCTCCATTGCGTAAACTCTACGGACCGGTTTGTATGTACAGGGCAGCTAATTTGCAGCCGGCCGAAACACATGGTAGATTGAACATGCTTTCGACGATCTTTCTGACAGAGGCCATCACACCAATAAAATGTCACGGAACGCAGGTCAAAAGCGAAAGACACATTAACGCACGGTCAGGTAAAAATCGCACAATGTGATCATCGCTCTTGGACCGATGTATACGAGCATCGTAAAAACATATGGCGACTGTTACGGTACTTTCCTATGAACGCAAGCTTCTGGTGGAAACTTTGCCAGAGCTTGTAAATGGTTTCGGCACTGCTACGGTTAAATTAAGGTTTCTGTTTGCTGTTGCTACGAAGCTGTAGCCTAGATAAATGCAACTGAGAAGTAATACGTTACCTATTTTGATAGCTAACTGCTAAGTAGATTTGCACCTATTTGTATGCACCAGCTGAGCTCAAACAATTATAATATACGCAGTATGTTAGAATTTAAGTCTCGAGGTTGATAGCATAGGTATAACGGCTCAAAAAAGGTTAAAGAATAACGTGCTCTGTTCGATTTGAATCCTTCAGTGCTTCGTCTAAAGATTTTATCACTCATAGTTTAGTCGTAAAGGTAACTTCAGCCTTGCTTAAGTACTTGGAACGATCGGTACAGAGACGCTTACTTATGCTATAGTGACCTGTAAGGCACGAACCTACAAATTGACGTTGTGCATATACCTTCATGTCACTCCTTTCGTAAATGAATCCGTTACGGTGACCAAAATCAAATTTCGTCTGTTGTTGCTAGTGTCATTTCATATTTGATATCACAGGGCACGGCACTGCTTCTCACCGAAAATTCAAATTACGCGCCGCCCATCTCCGCGATTTCGGAACAGCATTGCTGAATTCGATGTTATTTATCAGACAGTTGAATCACAACATAATTATTTTGGTAGTTATTTGTTTAGGCTTTTGTTTTGACAATAGTACGTCTCTTTTTTCGTCTTGCAGTATATGGGCAGTGTTGTCCTAAAAAGAAGAGAACAACTGGCTAATATCAGCAAGCGAATAAATTGATAACAGTAATAATATAGGAGGTACTTACATAGACTACAAAGAAATGGATTCATCGTATCAAAGCTATTTCAATATTATTATAGTTTTTAAAAGGTCCACGAAAAGGCATCTAACACGTGTTAACGCCTACTAAACGCCGCGCAAATGCTAGGTGATCGAAAACTACTTGTATGATGCAGGTAAAGCAAACCACTGACGTCATTGAGGTATGAAGATGTGCACAGCCAAAAGGAACGATAATCATACAATTACTTACGAGAGATCGAAGCGATGAATCCTTTGCCATATTGCTTTAGCAAATGCCCAAGTTTAACTGAACAGCTGTTTGAAGTCTCGGCAACATGTGCACATAGCCTGAACACTTACTAAGCAAGAGGCGTCTCAAGCTGCCTGTAATAAAGTTTAGCTAAACCCAACGCGGTATTTGATAAACACCAATGAAAAAGTTCTGTTATTTTGTATAACTGTGGCAATATTTTTTGGCGGGAATTCTAAGTCGAAGTATGTCGATACCGTCTTAAAAGAACCTGCATGTGCAAAGAACAAATACGCTTTCAGCTAAACTAGAAGGTCTTCTGAAGGGTATGACGCCACGCAATTTAATTCTTGCTTTGCGACTTTGCACTGATTCAAAAGCAATGTAATAGCATGTACGGGGCATTGGCTGCCTGTCCTAATAACCGGCCAACTCGACGATGACCGCGCGAACAACACTATCTGTCCGAAGACTCATAGGCACCGAAGTGTGCCAACGCATTGCCTGAAGGTACGCACCTCATGCGCACGAGCATGCAATTTGTCCCGTCAATTGAAGACAAAACTATAGACTTTTAATAGTAATAGTAAACATATGTCCAGTTATAGCTATAGTTGCTGCGCACTTTGTAAGTCGAAGATGGGCGGTGTTTTACCACCCACTTATCTTTTTAGGAAGCGCGTTGCCCTGAGCATAACGAATGGATTTAGTTACTTTTACGTAGAAGATGGAAACAGCATAACGTAAAGCAGAAATGTTAGTAACTCCACATGCGTGTTTCAGAGCTGCCACTTAACCTGCCGGTATGGTTATAGATTATAAGCCCAGCTGATCTAAACTTCTTAAATAGGTTTACACTGCCAAATAAAATGCACCTCTTTGAAATACACTATATTAGAGGCGACTTGTGCCTTTAATATAGTGTACTCCTGGTGTTTTGAGAGACGCTACCCAGTGGAAAAGATTTCTCTTTAATAATATATTAAAAAGGAGCACTGTGTTCGAATTGCTGATAAAGTCCGCAGTTCCTCTGTGTTTCAGAGTGTGATTTGTCAATGAGAACTGTGGAGCACATAAATAAATCTATAAGTGACAAGATGAATAAAATTAGACTATCTTTATAAGGACAGTTGGGTGGGTTTAAAATGTTAGGTCACCAGTCTGTAGTTGTCAAAAACATTAATCCGTTTGCGGGAGGAAAATACTAACAAAACGTTTCGAAAATCAGAGTAGCATGCCCATTCTTTATTAAAGGATTAATCGTTGAAAGAGGCACACAGTTAATCATGCAATGTAGACCATAAGATATATATAGTTGATCCGTTGGAACAAAGTGAAGATTGGTATATCATATTGTTTTTTCATAGGTCGTAGCGAACATCAGCGGTACAAAGATTGCGAAAAATGTTTTAGGTTCAATCACGATTCCGGTTACGAGTATTCTAAAGTCTGACTTCCCAGGCCTCTATCGCACTATAAAGAAATTTGTGTTAACTTTTTACTCTATATTTTTGCGACGCCCGATTATTTTTATTTTTATATTACCATATGCTAGAAGTTAAACAGGATGCCTTTAATTGGCCTGTTAGCCTATCAAACTGAACGAGTAAAAACGAAAATACCAATTCGTGCTAGAGATTTTTCGAAAGTTTGGAAATACTATCGGGAATGTAGTAAAAACAATAAAATATAATGTTTTTTTTGGGTAGGAATAATTCATAAACTGTTTCAAAGGTTTCATGACGAATTTATCCTGCAGTTCATTTAGCACCTTTGATTTAGGAGCTATACAATGATTTATCTTCAGAATGCATGTGTGACTCAAGCGATTAAAAAATCTTGCCTGAGCCCATTATGTCGTTTTCGCAATTATTAGCATCAGAGTAAGCCGATTGAATACATAGAAACTGTTTTAGTCTACGCGGTCGATTTTATATTTTTAACTTTATGTATAGATTAGCTTCGGATCGGAATTGTAAGATATCACTATGGGGTTGACTCAAGAAGGGAGCCCAAAGCATAGCTGAGCTCACTTCAATCCTCCACGGATAATTAGAGGGACCGGATTAAAACACAAAGTGTGAGGCCTGACATGAAAAGCTATATGCAATGGTTCGTTCTATCGGTTGTTGGTTATCTGGTGTGTGAGACCCTGAGGGATCTATCAGGGTTTTTCTCCAACAGGCCTACGAATTGGCGTAGTAACTATATGGCATGGTAATCGTCTACCATCACTGAAATTGGAACCAGTGATTGTCGTGTGTTCATACTTACATGACATCACACTCAGAAGTGCTCATTAGCCACTTAAATCGTATATATATGTATATATATATATACACAGAAACTCGGCATAAGTCGAACCAGACAACTTGCTTTTTCGTAGTATTTAGGTTAACAACGAGGGGGGCATTTTCGCTAATAACCGATTTTTGATAACTGTGTTTATATGAGAAGGGACATTTTTCTGAATCAAATAGGACATATTTTTAATCAAATTCAATCGATCTTGTCAATTAGGATTCGAAAGGTATTCGAAATACAGAATATAACTCGAAAGCCACTTTGCAGAAGCTTGTTTTAAGAAGACACAATTTCTTGTCCTATGGATAACAATATTAGGCCCTGGCTCTAACCATTGCATTTTATATTATAATCAAGTAGCGTTCAATTGAAACATACTTATTTTGTAATCAGTCTCTAATAAAATGCAGGTGATCAAATTCGGAATCTATCTATTTATTAAAGTAAAAAAAAAAATTAGCTTGTTAGTGAAAGAAGCATTGTCAAACAAAATCCTATAGCAGAAATTATTCGTTATTTTAAGCTCCAAAACTGGCATATCTTTCGTATGAATGAGGGTTAGTATAGCTCAAACCTACTCACATGTCCTTCTAAGAAAATTCCACTTTTCACACCACCAATTCTGTGAAGTATCTGCAGGTAGAGTCAATTTGTGTCTGAACTCGTATCATTTTCTACAAGAAAGCCGTTATAATAAAAAAAAAAATCGTTTGGTCCCGTGTTGCCATTTTCCGTTGTTGTTCATTAACAACGCGTATCGATTAATTTGACGTATTTGCAATGCGATAAGACAAACCGTTTCACTTTTTGCCGGCTAAGCATGGCTCCTTGTACGAATACTGATAGGTGAGTCAGTTGTGCTTTCTTTTTATATGGATTTGGGCGGCAAGTTGCAATCAAGATCTCTACGAAACGCAAGGGTATATAACTTAATCGGTCACACAGCCTAGACATGTCTTATACAGACTTTACACAGTTTCACAGATTAGAGCCCCAATATACAGCGCCTCAGCGTATTCCTTGTAAATCTGTGAAATTAAATTAAATATTAATTGATTACAGGAACAAAATAAGAGTTGACCTGTCGATAAATAGTTTGGCTTTGGCTTGATATCAATTTTCCCGAAGATCTTCACGTCTATTGTTGGGGTTCCAAGAGGTGACACAAATTTCAGAGTAGTTCGAGCAGAATTTTGTTTCGTATTGACGCTTATGTCTGTTAGAAGCTCACTAAGCTCGAATCGTTGGCAGGGAAGTGTTGTTAGCTAAGCACAGATGTGACTTTACTTGAATGCCTCGCGTACTCTCTGACTGTCTGTCATCAATTTCTAGGCGGCATAAAACAAGACCTTAATAAACAAGACCAGCGCATTGGGGCAATGCAGCGAAATTACTAATTGTCAGTGTGATATTGAGATCTTCTAAAGTGTGAAGGAAAAAATGTCACTTGTCCTATTAAAACCAATATAGGAAAACTGACTGTAAGGCCGTCGGTACGATACTTGGCAGCAATACGTTTACCAATTTTCTAAAATTTTCTGTTTCTCGATGAATGAATGAGTTTGATAGATGACGAAATTTCTCTACGAAAGGCAAGATGAGGCAAGATGCCTCAAAAAGGCATGAGCTGATACGTTATACATGACGACATCGAAAAGAGCAACGTGGCTTCCCGGATAGAAAAAACCATGGAAAATCCTAATACAATATATGATCTGCAAAATAGAAACCGAGGAATAATATCTGTCGTTTTTACGTGGGCATTTTACTGCTATCTAGTCGATCTCTCATTTAAAAAAGTAACTACATGAACGCAGTGGAGCACCCAGCATCGACGGCGGTGAGGTATAGAAAGAGGGCATAACGAGTTCAATGCGGCTGATTTGATCGTTATGTTTTTCTCTGAAACGCATCACCTTCAGGAGTTCTCAAGCGTGATCTACAACCGTCCAATTAAAAAAAGTGAAAAACCCATTAATATAAGCAACGCTTTTCTGGCAGAACGTGTTTTGACTTTTTTTTTTTTAAGTTATGCCTTGCTCACCGGAAGTGCACAATATTTCGAATTCGCGTTCACATAATTGATACTATTTTGGATAGTTAAGTCATTGTCAACTTTTATTTTTAGAGCTTCCCATGCTTCTTTGCCATTCTTTAAACTACAATGGATGCACATATATGTGCACATATATGAAATATATCAATGTCAACCCAAGTTTCTCGACTGGTCTTTTTGCCTACGGCTTGT